AGTTCCTCACCCCACAAAGAAGTCTGATGCTTTCCACCTGCAGTGTATGTGCACACTTTCTGGGTAGATGCTTTGAGGGCAGCAATGTGGTGACAGCCCAGGGGCCCCTCCCACGTCTCCATGTGCCTCCATCCTTTGAGTGTCCCCTCGAGCTATGCAATGCTTCGGCTGCATCAGTTTCTCCCAAAGCAGTATCTGCAAACCACGGCCCTCCTTTTGTAAATACAGTTTTATAGGAACATCATTGTGCCCATCAGTTTAAGTGTCGCTTGTGGCTGCTTTTGTGCTACCACTGCAGGATTGAGTAGTTGCAACAGAGAATTACTCTCTGGCCCTTTCAGAAAGTGTTTATTGATCCCATCCTAGAAAGATCAAATTAGACCAGGGTTCGCCCCCAGAAGGTGGTCATTCCTTCCCTGTGTTGGAGACTAGACTTACTGAGCACTAGGCCCTTTCATCTGTGAGGGGGCTCAGCAAGTCCCATCCCATGGAAAGACTTCACTGATTCCAAAGCCAGGGTGTTTTGCAAAGGTCTGTTCTTTGCCTGCCGTGGCTCTGTGATATAGCTAACTTATGTTGGAACCTGTATACTGCCATCTTATAAAAGACAAAACTGTTTCCATTCTCCTCACAAGGACTGCTAACCTAGGTTTCTGTAAACTGCTAGATCATTTGCAGGATGCAAAGAGAGGTAAAGCTGCATACCTTCTCTTATCTGTAAATGCAAGAATTACTGGCCTTTGTTTCCCAGAGTAAGCACCCCCAGATAATTCCATCCTGGCGCCAAGCAACTGAAAATCTATGGATCCCACCCCTACCCAGACGATGTGTAAATGAATGCTAATCTTAGCATCTGTGAACCCCTTAAATAACAATCAGAATGTCAAATAGTCCCCTGGCCCTCGAAATGTCCGGAACCCCCTCACCCTCCTCTCCGCCCAGAAGGTGATTTGAATCCACTGGCCCTCGGAATGTCTGAAGCCCCTCACCCTCGTCTTAGCCTGGGAGATGACTGACAGCTTTCATTCCCATCTCCACCCCCACTCCCAAGGTGGTTTTTCTGGTATAAAAAGGTCTTGTCTCTCTTCTTTCAGGGCCACGGGTTGGAGAGACGTGAGTCCTCCGTGGTCGCCGGCAATAAACCCTGTAATTTGGCATACTTTTGTTCTGGTGTTGACTTTCTGTGCTGAGTTCGATATAATAGCACTAAGCACCTTGCCTTTATACTCCCATATACAGCTCTCAGTAACGCCAGGAAGAAAGAACTACATTATCCCTATTTTATAGATGAGGAAACAGAGGCCCAGAGAGAATAAATGACTGGCCTGAAGTAACATAGTGGGGAGGTGGCAGCGCTGAAGATCAACCCCAGCTCTGTTCTGAGTCCGAGCTGCTGCTCTTCGGTGCTCCTCTAGGCTGCCTCCCCTTCCTGAAGGTTTAGCAGGAAGAAGCCTCAAGGTACTTGAGGAAAACAAACATGAAACAGGTTTATTCAGGCCCACTCAGCTGGGCATGGTGGTTCACACCTGTGATCCCAGGGCTTTGGGCAGCTGAGGCAGAGGAGCGCTGGAGCTAAGGAGTTCAAGACCTACCTGGGCAACATAGTGAGATTTCTATCTCTACAAAAAATTTAAAACTTAGTTGGGCATGGAGGCAAGTGAGTATAATCCCAAGTACTCAGGAGGCTGAGGCAGGAGGATCACTTGAGCCTAAAAGGTTGAGATTGCAGTGAGCCATGATCGTGCCACTGCACTCCAGCCTGGGCAACAGAGCAAGACCCTGTCTCTTATAAAAACAAAAACCAAAACCAATCCCTTGCCTAGAACATCGAAGGGTGGGTCTCTGGCAAGGGCCTTGTGAAGAAGCCTTTCCTTTTGGTAAAGAATTAGCCAACTGCAGAAGCAGACTCCCACGGCCTCCCTTGCAGAGTAGGGGCTCTCTCCAGTGGCAGGTATCCCAACACATGAGAAAATGTCCCCCAGGGAACAGAGAGACCAGATTAACTTGATAACATCCGAAACCCCCACCTGGATGAGCACTAAAGCCTTTGTGTTTGGATTGAAAAACCAGAGATCTCAGGTAGGTTAGTTCCAACTCCCCAGATAAAGACATATTACATGATAAGCCAGACTCTTTTGTCTTCTAAATTAAAAAGATTAAGTATCTTTTAGAGAATTCTCTCCTTTAGGACTAAGCATAGACATTGACTCAATTTCACATTGTCATGATAACAAAACTTTAGGGGAATCAGAGACAATATGTGGAAGGCCTGCAGTTGTTACAAAAAGAGTAAAATTGTTCCCTTTTTGTTTGAAATAAAGAGAAGATTACATGTCAGGGAAATTAATCTGATTACAAAGATGAACAGCAAACTCACCAGGTCACTTCCTGTCGACACAGGAAGAAAAGTTCTGGCCTTGTGTTCTGGGAATCTCTCCACAAAGTCAGAAGGTCACTAATTCACACGAGGCAGTGGAGGGAAAAGAGATGGCTGAGTCACATGAGTGATTCGGTGATTTGGCTTGCCTGAACATTTCCGTTTTTGTTTTTCACCATCTGTACAAACACTGTGAAGACTCCAGCAAAGTCCTCATGTGTGCTGACTCCTTGGCCCTTGCTCTGGGATCAGGTAACTGCCAACAAAATCCTTAGCACCTCACCAATGTCCTGTTTAGCCACCATGTCACCGTGGCCACCATGTCATCGTAGCCACCTCCCATCCTCCCGCCCATGAGGATTTCTGTTCCATCACTTTGTTTCACTCCTTTTTGTAGACTACACTAACTAAAATTAACTGTTTACTTTTTCACTGTCTGCCGTTCTCCTCCTCAACCAGTTCACATCTGCCTCCTTCATCCCCACATTGCCAGCGCCTGGCTCACAGCAGAGCCTCTGTAAGTATTTGATGAATATTAATGGATTGTTCATGAATAAGTTGAAGCGTGCTTAAAATTTCACAAATGCGTTTAGTTTTTCACATCCAGTTTTTCTTTTCGCATTGAGTTGGCTATGCTGTCTAAGGCATCCTGGTGATAACACGTCCAACCTCACATTAATAAAGTGGTCATTCATTTGTTCATTCCATCCAACATAAACTTACTGAGTGCCTATCTGGTGCTGGGCATCTGTGCCAAGGATTCCATAGTGATCGAAACAGAGTGCCTGCTCTCCTAAGTTTTCAGTCTATTGGGGACCGTGGGGGAACAAATATTAATGAAATAGCAATACAGATGCGACATTATAACCTTGATAAATGCTTTGAAGAAGAAATGCATGCAGGGCTTCCGAGGAAGGAATGCTTGAGCTAAGAGTTGAAAGATGCATTAACCAGGAGAGGTAATTAGATTAGCTTGCTCAAGAGTGAGCAGGGTTCCGGTTGATAGATTTATGGTTGTCATAAGGATTGGGAGAAGTACAGTGTAAAGCTAGAGAAGAATTTTCTAGAAAAAGGGACTACGGCCAGGTGAGGTGGCTCATGCCTGTAATCCCAGCACTTTGGGAGGCTGAGGCAGGTGGATCACTTGAAGTCAGGAGTTTGAGACCAACCTGGCCAACATGGCAAAATCCTGTCTCTACTAAAAATACAAAAAATAGCCGAATGTGGTGGCATTGCCTGTAGTCCCAGTTACTTGGGAGGCTGAGGCAGGAGAATCACTTGAACCCGGAGGCGGAGGTTGCGGTGAGCTGAGATTGCACCAGTGCACTCCAGCCTGGGTGACAGAGCAAGATGCCATCTCAAAATTAATAATAATAATAATAACAATAAAGAAAAAGGGACTACTGGCATGGACATGTGTTATAGGGATCAGGTGGATGTTGATGGTGCAGTGGCAGGGGGAGGCAGGAGGGACCGGGGAGTTGATGGCTGCCTAAAATAGGATGGAGACAAAAATAGGTGGAGAAAATAAAATAACACGGAAGTTATTTAGTGGGTAAAATGGCAGGACTTGGCTAATCCTTTAAGGCTCATCTGGTGACTGGGAGATTCTTCTGGACTGGGACCTGTGTGGCCCTCCCCTGCTAGCAACTTGGCTTTCAGAAAAAGTGCAGCCACTGAAGCAGTCCAAGTGCCAAACAGGGATGGCAGGTGGGGCAAGGGCTGGGCGGAGGGCGCAGGAGAGCACGTGCCTCCGCTGGTAGCAGCATTTCAGAACCTGGCTTTATGACTCAGATCCAGAGGATTCCTGGAACCCAGACATACATTGCTGTGGGAAGTCAGTTGTTCACAGGAGATCAAGACCATGCCTATGAAGGAGCTCAACTGTACCCACGAAAACCCATGCTTAACAGGCAATTACTGCTCTACAGAGCCCTACCTGCAACCAGCGTAGCTAAATAAGGAACATAGGAAACAACTGTCCTGGAATAGAAACACCATGGTTTTTTCCCCCCTCACTTGATGAAAGAAAGACTTCAATGAAAAGGGAAAAAATAATTATAAAGTAGAAGCCTTACGTAATGAGGTTTAAAAGAAAACTTTGGAAGCCAACAAGCAACAGTGGGCAACACTTCAAAGGGCCCAGAATCAATGTTTGTCAATAGCAGTTTTGCATCCTTTAATTTATCTCTCATGAATATAAAGTGTGATGTTATTAGAAGCCCATCTATGCCTTAATTCAGAGAGATTTGATGAACCAGAAGTCTATTAACATTCTGTCCGAATCAGCACTGGCAGAGGCCTGTGGCACAGGCTTCACCTGATCTTTTATCCTGGAGCTGGGATGCTGGTTACACTGTCAGGCCCTCAGCACGGGAACACCTAGCAGCTGCCATGTGCACCGTGCAGCCAGGGGACTCTTGATGTCAGCTACTTTCTTTGGAGACTTTTTCCCCAGAAAAGAAACCGCCTCGTGACTCTGACTCAGCCCAGCCCCAAAGTTGCCATTTGTTTAATCAAGATAGTTGGTTTGCAAAACATTAAACATTAAACAGTATTTGATGCCTAGTTAATAATTTGCATCCTCTTCATTTGTTCCTGAATCCTTGGAGACTGACATTTTTCCCCCCTAAAGGCAGAGACAACAAAAGAAATTGTATTGAGAGCAAAACACAAGTCCCTAAACTGCGAAGATGTTCGCCAGGATGTCTGATCTCCATGTTCTGCTGTTAATGGCTCTGGTGGGAAAGACAGCCTTTGGGGTAAGTGTTCTTTTCTAATATCTGTAGTTGAGAGGCTCTGAAGTCACGAGAAGGACCAAGCTAGGCTGGAAGCGATGAGAAACTTCAGTGTGAAAGGCTGGAGTTGCCAAGCTGGATATATTCAGAGTGCAAGAACCAGTGCAGGCCTCTGGCCTGGTTTCTTTTGAGCAGCCACTCCCATGGGAACAGGTGTCTGACTTGAGCCATCTTGGAGCGGAGCCTCCATGAATGCATTCCAACAAAGGAGACTAGGGCAAGAAGATGTGCCCAAGGGCATGGGCTATAATCTGTCATGGATCTCATAAACCCCCTTGAGAAGCCATGGAAAGCCATAAACTCTCTCCCCAGAAAAATACACCTATCTACTGGTACTGACACACAGTTTTCCAGAAATCTGGGGCTGACATTAGGGTAAGAACCAATGTGCTGTGGCCTTTGAGGAGAAGCCTGCTGACTGCAAGTGATCCTGGCAATGGGTCTGCATAAATGGTTTGGATTTGGGAGAAGCGTTGTGGTTAGTACTTTGTCTCCTTTTTCCCATGACAGCAGTGGATGAGGCAGAGAGGGTGAGCAGGGACCAAGGGAGGTTGCCATGAGCAGGGAAGGGAAGTGCTTTCAGAGACTCTTGAATGGGGGACTCAGGATCTTTGGGAGCAGGTGAGTTGTTAAGATGTTGGCTCCTTCTGCGTGCTGCTGTGGTCCAAGGGTGTCGGCTCTCTGTGGGCATGTGAAAGACTACCTTGCACAGAAGGAGAGTCTCCTGGGAGCTCTGTGCTGGTTGTGGTCTGAGGCATGAATGTGGGCTTCGGAGCCAGGGTTTGAATCTTAGCTTTGCCACATTCTAACTGTGGAATGATAGGCAAGGAACATAATCTCTGAGCCTCAGTGTTCGCTTCTGCGAATCAAGCGCTAATCTCTCATAGATCTGGGGAGGGCCACAGTTAAATGAAGTCGTGCATGTGACTTGCAAGTAAGTGTGAGCTCTCGTCCCTTAAAAGGTCAAGAATGAACGCAACTTCTCTCTGAAAATCAGAATGCTCCCCTTCATTGGGGAGGAGTGGTAGAAAGTGGGTAGAGGATGAGAACTGAAATAACAGCCATAACCTCTGATCTTAGGAAGTACCTTTGTATTTTGTTCTCCATTTCACTCCATAGAGCATGTCCTGAAGGGGGCAGATTAAGTGACAGGTTTTCTGATTAGCATGTTTTTAAAACAATAGCTTCTCCTTTCTTTTCCGTTAACTGTGCTCGGAGGCCTATCTTAGCTCTGTATTAAGTTGCCAAGTGACACTTCTGAAAGCATTTTCTTTTCAAGTCGTGACGTGTGTGTGTGTGTATGTGTGTGTGTGTGTGTGTGTGTGTGTGGCTGTAATTACAAATTGTTGTCAAGCCCCTATATCAATTGATGGCTTGTGGGGTGTCTGAGGCCGAGACACAGCAGAAATACCACAGGTCTAGAGAAAGGCAGGAGAAATCATCAGCGGCCCACACAGGGCCCAGAGAATGTACCAGTCGGAAAAAATTAGATCCTAAACTTTGCAGGCAAGGAGAAACATTGACACAGTCTGTTTGAAGTTCACAAAAGGATAATGGTCCCAAAAAATCCCTTTTTTGCAAACCCCAGTGAATTTTTAGGGTTAGCGATGAAATTATAAGTCAATAATGGATAAAAGAGAAAATATGAGAGTTAGCCTTCAGGCAACGAGCTTAGTCAATTCCAAAGAGAGGATTCGGGGCTTTGGAATGTTTTCTTACCCCAGATGTGTGCCAGACAGGTGGTCGGGAAGGCGGCTTGTGTTCCACAGGCCGTCACACGGACATCAGGGGAAAGTGGCCAAGTCGTTCAGATGCTTTGGAGAGTTTGAGGCATCATGGGGGTGAAGAAGCCACATAGCCAGCTGGGCTAGGTGGCCTCTCCAGCCCCACACAGCTAAAAGTCATAACTAACTGCTACCATTTAATGAGGAGTCCTGAGCGTTATGCCCTGAACTTTCCATGAATTGGTTTCTCTCTGGAAGGACCCTAAGAAGTAAGTCTAACCATGTTCCCATTTTACAGAAACGAGGCTGGGAACTGGGCGGGCCCCAAGTCATACAGCTGATGAGTGGCAGAGCTGAGCTCTAGATGGCAGGCTGCTTTCGTGTGGCCAAAGTCTCCTGTCTGGGGCCCTGGGTGAGGATGAGATTTCTTCTGTTTGTGCAGCTTCAGAGTCATGGCCCTTCCTGTAGGGAAAGGAGGCTCGTAGACTAGGCACATGTTTGCTGGGTGGAGCGTAATGGACTCCACATATCTCTGAAACTCTAAAGAAAGGCAGCTGTGGCCGGGCGCAGTAGATCACGCCTGTAATCCCAGTACTTTGGAAGGTGGAGTCATGTGAATCATGAGGTCAAGAGTTCAAGACCAGCCTGGCCAACATGGCGAAACGCCATCTCTACTAAAAATACAAAAAATTAGCTGGGTGTAGTGGCAGGTGCCTGTAATCCCAGCTACTCGGGAGACTGAGGCACAAGAATCACTTGAACCCAGGAGGCGAAGGTTGCAGTGAGCTGAGATTGTGCCACTGAACTTCACCCCAGGTGACAGAGTGAGACTCCATCTCAAAAAAAAAAAAAAAAAAAAAAACGGCAGCCATAAGATCTGCGATCACTATTCATTGGAAAGACACCCAGGTACTCTCCCCTGAATTCAGAACATGTAGCACATGAGGACTCTTCTTTGGGATCATCCATCATGGAGATTTTTATTCCGATATTGACTAGCCCAAGTGATATGGGTCGAAAATCATTGCTGTGAACTCCAGGACATCACTCATCATGCCTTCTTGTCCGAGTCAAGTTTTGTTTTTTTTCTGCCTTCTTATCCGAGTCAAGTTTTGTTTTTTTTCACCTATCGGTTTTGAGCACCTGTCCAGCACAGCCTGGTATCATTCTCCCCGTTTCAGGGATGAGATACAAACCCAGAGATGTTAAACTGACTTTCCGGCCAGGACTGGGGCCAGGTCTGTCTGATGCCACGTTCATCACAGGAGGTCTGCTTAACTGTAAGAAAGGCAGGGACTGTCTTAGAAATCTCTTCTTGCTGGGATTCTTAGAGTGATCGGGGCCCCAGCTGGGCTCAGTCATAATGGAATTTGATCTCTCCAAATTTGACCTCTCCAGAGGACAATGCTTGTCAAGCCCGCCTGCTTACCTCAGCCCATCCCTAGAAAGGAAGAAAGACAATGGCTTCTTCCCTCCCACGCAAAGGAGGTGCCTTCAATTAAAACCATGTTTACATTTCTGGGCTTTGAAAACCCTAGAACTCTAGAATCTTCCCAGGTATGGGGCCACAAAAAAAAGTTTGCATAGGTTGGAAGCTGCAAACTGGCAGCTTGAACTCTCTACTATGCTCACAGCTCAAGTTCAATTTGGTGCATAGAAGATTGACTTGAAGAGTATTTTAGTTTTATTTTAATTGCTTAGCTACATTTGAAAATCAGAACACAGAACATTTCTCATAAATACTCCCAGCTTTTCTTGAAAATCAGACATGTGAGTAGCATTAGGCTCACATTCTTGGCTGGCACCATGGGAAGGGGTGGCCACTGCTGCTGTTACTAGCAGAAGTTTGAGGCCAGCTGTGGTGGCTCATGCCTGTAATCCCAGCACTTTGGGAGGCCAAGATGGGAGGGTTGCTAGAAGCCAGGAGTTTGAGACCAGCAACATAGCAAGATCCTGTCTCTACCAATTATTTTTTAATTAGGCAGGTGTAGTGGTACATGTCGGTAGTCCCAGCTACTTGGGAGGCGACGACAGTGAGTGAAGAACGTACCACTGCATCCTGCCTTGGCAACAGAGCAAGACTCCATCTCAGAAAAAGTTTAAAAAAGTAAAAGAAGAAGCTTGAGTTTCCCAGATCCTACTAGTCCTCTCTCTCTCTATCTCTCTCCCTCTCTCTCTGTCTCTGTCTCTCTCTCTTTATTTATTTATTTATTTATTTATTTATTTGTATAGACTAGTTTTCACTATGTTACACAGGCTGATATTGAACTCCTGGCCTTAAGTAATCCTCTTGCCTTGGCCTCCCAAAGTGCTGGGATGACAGGTGTGAGACTTCATGCCTGGCCCCCATACACTTTAGAACCCTTCCTCTTGGCCCATGTGCATTGTCTGCCTGGTTCTGCCTTAGTGCACTTGTCTGGTTTACTGCCTATATTGACTTATTGGAGCCAGTCTGAGATGGGCAAGTGACCAGGTTCAGCATCTGATTAATTCAAGCATGCACAGCTGCGTGGGCTCCAGGACCAAACAAGGCCTTGGACAGGAAGATGGGAGCCATGTTTTTCAAAGCCTCCAGTATGCCAGAGCCTCTTTCAGGCCTAAGAGAGTCTGTAGAGACATTCCTCCCTCTTACTTCATCTACACAGTCTTAGGGAAAGCGGAGGGACTGAATTTCACGGCAAACTCTTATAGATTTTTTTTTTTAACTGATCTGAAGCACAAGTCCACTCATCACCATTAGCAGCATACACTGGTATTTCGGGAAGTGAGGTCGCGGAAATCACATGTGTATATAGGCACGGGTGTATTTATATTTTAAATTCATTAGAGTTTCCCAAATGCAAGAGCAATTCTGCTGTCACAGAGAAACAGCATGGCAGAATATTCGGCAGCCAGGATTTTAAATAAAACATGCTTTTGCTTCATAATTAATATAACAAGGTTTCCTGGCTTAGGACTTGGCAAAGATCCCAGGAAAAATGGAGCAGGGAGGGGTTGGTGCGCCATGCCTGCGACCAGCAAGCAAGTTTCAGGAGAAGTTGATGCTGTGTAAGCTCTCCTTAGCCAGCCCTTCCGGCACGGTGCACTCCAAGAAAACAAAACAAACTCACAGACAACAGTGGCTAATTATAAGAGTATCAGGCCGGGCGCGGTGGCTCACGCCTGTAATCCCAGCACTTTGAGAGGCCGAGGCCGGTGGATCACGAGGTCAAGAGATCGAGACCATCCTGGTCAACAAGG